GAAAAATAATATATATATATATATATATATATATATATATATATATATATATATATATATATATATATATATATATATATATATATATATATGATTATACATTTTATTCCATAAAATACAGAGGAAAAATATTGATTTTAGATCCTTTTCTTGAACGCAGCTGTAATCTTTTGGGTAACCCTTTACCACAGTGACTAGCCCCTCTTATAATGTTTATCTGCTTTAAGTACTTTCTTCATTGCACACATAAGTATTTATTAAATATACATGTGAGGATATTAAGTTTCTCATAAGTCATATAACTTTATCTATTATATATTATAATAAATCATAATTACAAAGTATCAGTGTTCTATTAGCATAATAATCATATAATTGATTACCTAATAATAAAAAAGTCAATACATTAAAATATTATTTTAAAATTAATATATTAATATTATTTTGAATTCAAATAATTTTTTAACTTATCAAAATATTACAAAATAGTAAAGTAATTTTATTTTTTGTAACAAGTTATTTGATATACTATCAAAAATGTATTTCTGGAATAACTACAAAGTCGTTTTTAAATGGTAGTTTAAAATACTTAATATTTAGTTCTTTTATAAAAAATGTTGTTGTATTAAATGACACATTTTCCACATAGTATACGAACAAGTTTGTTGAATCAAGAGGATCCATAAAAAATGATTACTTACGCTGAAACTCTTGGCAGACAACACGAGGATTAGCCTCTGTGCAGACTACATTAGTTAATATGTTTTTGACTAAAATAATTTTATCATTAACACCAAAGCAAATGTCAGAAGTAGCAAAAGAAACCAGAAACTGTGGTCCAAAATACTGCTTGTATTGAATGTAGTGACAAAATGGCAATGGTAGTGGACCTAGCAAGAGTTTTTTTCAAAATTTAGATAATATACTACTGCACATTTTAGATTGTTGCTAATGATCTTCCAAAACCGTTGCACAGTTTGTGAGCAAGATGATTTGGGTTGACGAATTAACTTTTTTAGTCTTCCCAAATAGCTTTCAAAAGGAAAACAAGAAACATTATGTAACACACCAAATCACCTAGCATCATCTGGTAACCGTATCAATGAATGAATATTGTAAACGCACTGATCTTTTCCAAATAATAAGCAAAAATTGTATACAAAATACTTTAATAAGTTTTCTACATAAACAAAGTAGTGGTTGTTACACAATGATTGGTGTTATACAATGAGTCATAAGAATGCATATAGCTACAGAGAGACACAAAAAATTGGAATATACAAAATCAGAAAGAATACCTTTTAAAACAACAGGACCATAATATGTATAATAAGAACTGTCTCAATTCTGTAGCTTTTCATTACTTGAACTCTAAAAGAGATCAAGGCCTTTGTGAAAACTCTCTAGGAATATAAGCTTGTAAAATAGCAAGTTTTTTAGATATAGCATCAGTTGTTGATCTTGATAACTTATGCTCAGATCTGCCATAAACTAATTGGTTTATATACCTTCGAACTGTCCCTAAAAATACTGAATGCATGCTATCAATTGGAAAACCACTAACTAAACCAATATTTAATTCTTCAATAGGCGATTTATGCGTATCATCATGATGGTTTTTATCTGTTTTGTTTTTAAAACTGATGTCTGATCTTAGAGGAGCAGCTAAATTAGGCATAACAACTTTACCTAACCATTCACCTGTTTGAAAGCAACGTTCCCAAGAGTTATATGCATTGTGTGGTTTAATATATTTTACAAATGCTCTTGCAGGTGCATCACAAATAAAAGCATCCAATTTTATTAAATAGTTTTTCCTAGTTTCCACACAAACAAAACCTGTCAACTCTAATGTTTTCATTTCAGCAACAAAGTCTTTTAAATAATAGTGCAATGAGTTAGGCTTGTTTCAATCTGAAATAGAAATGTTCTCCACCTGCAATACTTTGTATGCTAATCTTTCTTTTGGTTTGCAACAAAGTTCTTGCATCCTTCGGCAAATCAGAATGTGATAAGCTTAATAATGAAAGTAAATCTGTACATGCATTATGAGAAATGTTAAAGCCCATGTTTTTAACTGATCATGAAAACAATCAGTATTAACAATTGAATCTGAAACATCATTACTACTCAAGTTATTAGAAATTTCTGAAAAATCATTCTAATCACTTTTATAAAAGCAAAGTGTAGTAGAAAATACTTTATTCACACCACCATTTATTTTTTGTCTTTTTGTAAAATAGGAATATAAATAATTAGTACTCCTGTAAATGAAGTTAAAACTATTAAGTATAAAAATAAAAGAAAATTATTATTAAATTTGTAATATTATATATTAGTAATAGTATTAATGAAATTTAATTTTACTTAGTTTAGCGCTATGCTCTCCTATAAAAAAACCAGAGGAGTAGTTATCCTACCTAAAGCCGATGGGGATATGTTTAGCATTTCATATAAGTTCAACAAAGGCATTTGTATACACCTACACACTGACACTTATCCCAGTAAAAACACTTATCTAAGTTTCTTCAACAGCTTGTTTCTCCATCAGTAGGTTCATCAGTAAGGAAATTAAATTACAATTTTTTTATTATTTATGATAAAATAGGCAATAGTAAAATATACAACAAAAAAAATATTAAATTATTTAATAAAAGGTTAATAACTAATAAAATAGTAACTATTATGTGATAAGTGATATGTTTTAATGGTTTAACTGTATGTTCATATCAAGATTTTTCCATTCAATAAACAAACTTTCCTTAGCCTTAAGTTTAAATATATATATATATATACATATATATATATATATATATTTATATATATATATATATATATATATATAATATATATATATATATATATATATATTTATATATATATATTTATATATATATATATATATATATATATATACATATATATATATATATATATATATATATATATATATATATATATATATATATATATATATATATATATATATATATATATATATATATATATATATATATGTATGTATATATATATATGTATATATATATATATATGTATATATATATATATATATATATATTTATATATATATACATATATATATATACATATATATATATATATATATATATATATATATATATATATATATATATATATATATATATATATATATATATATATATATATATATATATATATATATATATATTAGGGCCCTGTGAATGACTTTTTTTAGTTTCGAATTGAATCACCATTTAAAGCAGGTCTTGATTCACAAATTAAATTAATCACAAGTCCAAGTAGCATTTTGATGAAATCTTAGTTTAACTAAAACATCAATATCCTCAAAATGCTGATTTGATTTGAGATTCGATTCGATTTGCGAGTCTAGGCCTGCTTTGATCTGTGATTCGATTCAATACCAAAAAAAGTGATGGCAGGGCCCTAATATATATATATATATATATATATATATATATATATATATATATATATATATATATATATATATATATATATATATATATATATATATATATATATATATATATATATATATATATATATATAAAATATGTGTATTTTTATGTAAGGAAGATATATATATTATGTCTATTTGGAAGACTTTGCAATGACATCGCAAATGGTGGACGCTTTTTTCAAACAGTTGAAAATAACTTTTTAAAAGGAAAAAAGAAAAGAAAACATTTATAAATTAAACTAAAAATGAAATCAACAAAAAAAAAAAAGAATAAATAAATCTTTTAAAAAAAGAAAAGAAAAAGAAACATCTGAAAGAAAAAAAGTAAAAAACTAACGAAAATAGAAGTTAAAAAAAAAAACGTTAATGAATGAAATATATAAAAACAATGGTAAAGAATGAAAAAAAAGCTATTTAAAGAGATTAACCTCGATCGGCAAATCAAGATTTTTATTTATTTTTACATACATTTTTTTAGTTTTCTTTCATATATTTCTTAGGATTATTTATTTTATTATTTATTTATTTTTCTTCAATTTTTTAGCGTATATAGTTTTACTTATTATTTTTTGTTAGTCATATGTTTGTTTTTTAGTTATTATTTATTTTTAGTGGTATATAAATTTTTTATACAGTTATATATTATTTGTTTTTATTTTCATTTTAGCCATTTATTATATATGTTTAATTCTACCGTGTATTATTATTATCTTTTTTAATTTTAAGTTTTTTTGTTGTTGTTGTTTGTTTTGTTTATTTTGCATAGTTTTTTGTTTTGTTTTGTAATGTTTGTTGTAACTTGTTTTGTTTTGATTTTCTCAGTGTTTTTCTGTTTATATTTTATTTATTTATTTGGTCATAATATTTGCAATATATTTTGATTATTATATTTTTACAACTATGATTATATTAATATATTTACTAAATCTTTAAATTTTTTTTAGCAGTAGTCGTTTTTATGTCATCGTTAGTTGTTACGTTTTGTCAGTTTATTTCTGTTTGTAACTGTAACTTTGCATGTAAAAATGATTGCTGTTTGGAAAATACCGTTTTATTTAAATTATTATAATTACTTTATTATTATTGTTATTATTATTACTATTTTTGCTATTATTATTATTATTATTACTATTATTAATAATATTATTACTAAGATTAATTGTATACATATAAATTATTTTTTTTAGGTATTTACTTGAGATTGGTATTTCAATACTATTTGTAAATAGCCTTGAAAATTTATTTTCAGAATATATATGATTGATTGATTGATTATATGTATATAAAAAATATATGTATATATAAAATATGTTATAAATTAATATATATATATATATATATATATATATATATATATATATATAATTTAAGAAAAATAGATTTACTAGAAAGTATCAATAAACCCTTAATTATTTATTACTTCATTATAAAAATGAGTTTTTCGTTTAAATCAAGTGAGTTTTTTATGTTAATATAACTAATGTTAATGAACGAATTTTTTCAAAATTATATTTAGACGAATTAAACCGGGGATCAAGGCATTAAAAGAAATAAGATATTATCAAAAGACTGATCACCTTTTAATTCCAAAATTGTCATTTTGTCGCGTCGTAAAAGAAATAATACTATCAACGAGTAAGTCTGATATGCGCATACAGAGTCAAGCATTGGCAGCACTTCAGGAAGCTACTGAAGCATATGCTGTCAGGTATATGCAGGACGCTAATATGTGTGCAATCCACGCGAATCGAGTGACAATTCAACCAAAGGACATGAAACTTGTAGCATATTTTGACAAACATTTATAATATAAATACTGAATATTTTTATGCAAAAATTGGAATACTTTTGGTAGGCAGCAATAAAAATTTTCTATCAGATGTTTTAATACAGAGTGTACTTTGTTTTGTCCTATCGACTGTATTGGTTTTAAAAATTTTAATTCTCTGACATTTGCCAAAACAGCATTTTAATATGATATTGAAAGATAAAGGTATTCTATACAATGTTTTAATTGTAAATATATTTTGTTTTATTTTATTAGTTGTATTGGTTCTAATAGTTTCAAAATATTGATATAATCTAAATTTCTATTGCATTTTTTTTTTTTTTTTCTTTACAAAATTCGAACTTTAATGTGTTTAGTTGTCTCGATATATCGAGGAATTGAGAAAAAAGTTGAAAGTGCACTTAACTGGTTCTATTTATTTATTTAATTTTATTAAAATATCACCTGCCTTTTGCAGTAAAAAAATTAATATTTCTGAGAAAAGTAATAACAAATTTTATAAAAAAGTCTATAATCTTGCCTTGCTACTAACTAAATATTGTCCAACTATCAAATCATTGTTTTTTTAATAGTTATAATAGTAATATTTTTAATAGTAATAATTTTAAACACTAAATAGGCATGACGGGTTCATCGTCAATACGTTTTTTAACGTTGTCAATTTTTTTTTTTTTTTAATTCAACCATATCAATAAAAATTTACAAATCTCATCGTAAGTTAATAGAATTTGTTCAGGTGTCACTCATATAGTTACAAACTAGTCAATGGAGTGACACCTAAAAAACTTAAAATTCTCGAAAAATAAATAAAGAAATGAAAATAAATAAAAAAGAAAGAAACGAAAAGCAAAAAAACATATATATATATATGTTTTTATATATATATAAATAAGAGAGAAAAAAGCAAAAGATTGTTAAACTAATAATGATACATGTAATAAATATAGTAATAATACAAAATAATAACAATAATAATAAAGTATCAATAATATTAAGGATAATTATAATACAATATAAATTGTATGTAGATATAATAGATAGTAATTAAATATAATAATAACATAAAATGTAGCAAAAATAACACAATAATAAATAAATATAATATAGAAAAATAATAAATAAAGCAAAAGTCAAACCACTCGTTCGTTAAAGAAATTATATACCGAAAACAACTACAGTATAGCAAGAAATTATAAAGAAATACACTCCAGCAATATATTTTTAAATTGAATTCTGTTGAGCAGTAAATAATTCGTAACAAGTGGATATTTTTTATTAATGCAGGAATATACTGGTTCCATTGGCAAATACATTGTCTCATAGAAAACTTACCATATTTAATTGTGTTGAAAAAAAAAGCGTATAGCTTACTATTTTCTGCATTCCTGGTGTGATGATTATGAATTTCATTTGTTTTAATAAAAAAATTTATAAAAGAGTTTAGTTGAAAACGTCATTATTTTAATAGATGCGCGTTGTAAACTAGCAATGCTATTAAGTAAAAAGTTTCTTTTTTGATCCCAAACAATACAACAATAGCAAAGGTGAGGAGAGAATAAAGAAGAATAAATCATTCGAAGAGTTTGAATAGGAACATAGTAACGAATTAAAGAAAGCATACTGTTAGCGTAAGTTTTGTTTTAAGATAATACAGTTGATTATACCAAGGTTTCACCAAGATATATTCCAAGATATATATTTTGACGAAAAAGGCTATATATTTTGACGGAAAAAGTTTTTTTCCGTTAACTTTAATTTTAATATCATCAATAGTTTTTTGAAGAGAATGAAAAATAATGTATTCAGTTTTATTGACATTCAAGGAAATACGATTACTATTTAACGAGTTAGATAAGCGATGAAGATCTTGATTAACTTTTTTACAGAGTCGTAAGTAATTTGTTTATATATAAAAGATTGGTTCAACATTATTCTGATATGGTACATCAGCATAATGATGTACTATAGAATTTTTTAATGAACAAGATAAATCATTTATATATAATAAAAACAATAACGGTCCAAGAACGGAACCTTGTGGAACGCCATATTTCATAACTCTATGTGTGGATTCAAACCCATTACTTGAAACAAACTGAGTGCAATCCCTAATAAATGAAGAAAACCAATGATTAGCAATACCACGTATTCCGTAGTAGTTTAACTTTATTATTAGAATGTTGTGTTCAACCGTATCAAAAGCTTTTTGAAGATCTATGAATACACCACAAGCAAAGGAAACAATGTCAATTGCACCACGAATCATTTCAGTAATGCTTATAAGAGCATGAGAAGTGGAGTGATTTGAGCCAAACTGAAACTGTCTAATATGAAAACAACCAGAATTATTCAAAAAGTTGTAAATACGACAAAAGGGGAGAGCGGGGTTGGTTGTCACACTTTTTACATTTTAGACTGCTCAGCTTAAAATCATTTATCGAAGACCTCTTCCGTGTGACAACCAACCCTACCCAAGAGGTTGGTTGTCACATTACTTGGTATGTTTTGATTATATTTAAAACTAGTACCAATAAATTTTGTGTATATAATACAAAGATTAAATATGAATAATCTGAAAAAAAAAGGCTATATACTGAAAAAAATAAAATACTATATACCGAAAAAATTTTTTTTTAATTTAACACAATAAACACATTTAGTTTAGGACTATATAAGTATTTTTGAAAATGGTGTTTTTATAAATTGTTGGATGAAGAGCACAATTCACAAATAAATAGGTGTAAGCCTGGTGTGCATTCTTTATCAGCCGGTTTTGGCAAGCCTGACATTTCATCCACTGTTCTCTTGATCTGCTGTTAGTAAATAATTTACAAAATAAGATGCATCTCTTCTTTACTCTTCTTTAGATGAATTTAATATGAAGATACTCTTCACCTTTTTTTTGAATTTAAGACAATAGAAGTTATTTTTTTTGGCAAAATTTGACTTTATCAATTCTTTATAAAGAATTGTAGTAGTAGTATAGTAGTAGTAGTAGTAGTAGTAGTAGTAGTAGTAGTAGTAGTAGTAGTAGTAGTAGTAGTAGTAGTAGTAGTAGTAGTAGTAGTAGTAGTAGTAGTAGTAGTAGTAGTAGTAGTAGTAGTAGTAGTAGTAGTAGTAGTAGTAGTAGTAGTAGTAGTAGTAGTAGTAGTAGTAGTAGTAGTAGTAGTAGTAGTAGTAGTAGTAGTAGTAGTAGTAGTAGTAGTAGTAGTAGTAGTAGTAGTAGTAGTAGTAGTAGTAGTAGTAGTATAGAAATAGTATACTACTTCTATTTATAAATGATTTACGATTCTTTTTAATATATATTTTAAAGGTTTTCTTCTTTTTATAATTAGCAAGCCATGCATTGACAGGTGAGTTAGTAAGAATCATAGATGAACTCTTTTTCCTACCTCTTTTTGACGCTAACCTTGGACCTGCTTTAGGGCAGAGGCCTTATACTCTCAGGTAGTATGATTGAATTTTTTAAAACTAAACTTTTAAAACTCAAGGCATTTTGACAACCATCCCCATATGTTTTGTGACAAGCAACCCCTTCTATGTATGTTACAAGACACCTCTAAATTTACGTAAAAGCATGTAAATTTTATAAAATATTTTTGTAGATTAAGTTACTCAAATGATTAAAAAACTTTAAAAATGTACATTCAAAGCATAATAAAATAATTTTTGTTTAATAAAAGAAAATTTCTAAGTGAGCGAATTTGAACTTTTTCATATCAAAAACCTAAAAATAACATTTTTCCTACACGTTAAAAAAAGCTGAAAATTACGGTAAAAATGTTTTTTTTTTAAATATAATATTTTCATTGTATGATTTTAAAGTTCTAAATCTTATCTACATTTCCTATAATAAACCTTAAGACAACCAACCCCGCGTGACAACCAACCTCGCTCTCCCCTTCATAAGCTTTTCTAAAAGTTTGCTGACATTTGATAATAATGAAATTGGTCTGTAGTTATTACATTTGTGTTTTAATTCTTTTTTTATGAATTGGGATTTTAAAATATTGGCAGTTTTTAAAATATCTGGGAATACACCGGTTATGAATGACAGATGAAATAGTTCAGAAAGTACAGGAGAGATATCATTTGCATGAGCATTAAAAATAGATATAGGAATGCTGTTAGGTCCCGAAGCCTTGTTGTCATTAATAGAATGAATAATCGATAATGCTTCGTTTTGGTTGATCCCGATATGTATATAATTTTAAAATATTTGTATTTTTGTACAAATATTTTTATGTTTTATTTTTTTGAAATTAATGATCAACTTTAATTAACTTTATTTAAATCTTCAATTTTTGTTGCTTTATAATACATGTTTAATACAAGTTTCGTATTAAGTAAAACATTTGTTCCTAATTTTAAAATAAGTTTCGAAGAAAATATTTCATACCTCTAAAATATTTTCTAAAAAAACATACAAAAAGAAGACTCTTACTCCGTTCACACTAAATAATGTTTTAAACTTAACGTGTTTTAATGTAAAGCTAGTTTTGTATAAAAAATGTTTGCGTTTACATGGAACGTTTTAATTTCAACATTATAAATGACACTCTCAAATAAAAACTTGAACTCAAAATTAAGAGTATTCTTGTACATATCAAGATATAAAAATAATATGCTACCGAATTCTTTTTTAGACATATTTTTTTCATCACTTTTTCAAAGTTATAAATTGCGATCAAATAGTTTTCTACAAATAGTATATTACCGTTTACTTACCGCTTATAATATAATATTTACGGATATCGAGTATACACTTTTTTTTTTGTTATAAATTTTGCCATTAAAAAATATTCTCAATTACAAAGTACATGAATAAACGATTTACATGACCGGGGCAAAAAGAAGGCTATAATTGTTTAATCACTAAACCCCGTAATATACCGTAAGACACGGGTTATTTTTTTTTTTTTTTAATAGTCATAAATAAAAACTACATATTTATTTTGTTTTTATTGATTTATATACTAACTCGTCTTGATATTGCAATATGAATGCAAAATAAATAAGAAAAAATATTTAGATTAAAATAGGTAAAAAGTTACACACACATTCACGCTCATATATGTAAAAAAATATACATATATAAAAAATAAAAACAATAATTCAAACACACACACACACACACACACACACACACACACACACACCACACACATATATATATATATATATATATATATATATATATATATATATATATATATATATATATATATATATATATATATATATATATATA